GATTGACGACAGAGTCTCTGTTTTGTGGGTGGATAGCTGCTACTTCAAACGCCCGTTGCACCAGGTCCGCTGTGAATACTTCAGTCCAGGACTCATAGAATAGGCGGAAAAAGTTGCTCTTCTTTACACCTGCTAGAGCTTGGCTATTGTGAAGGTGTTTAGTGACAGCGTTGCTGTACTTAGAAGCCAGTGGCGAGAAGAGTACTACATCGAGCGGCTGGAGCGTGTGGGTGCTGTGTGGGGGAAAAACCAGCAGCAGAATTCGATGGCGGTCGCAGTACTTGATGAAAGCCATTGTTATATGGCTGCCATGGCCGTCAACTACTAGCAATCGCCATGACCTGCGAGCCTTTGCCTTAGTAAAGCGCTCAAAAATCTGTTCTAGCCACGCCAATCCTACTTGATTGTTTGTCCAGCCTGAGGGTGTTGCAGTAACAAACACTGAGTGTTTTCCTGGCTCAATATCCTCCACCCAGTCGCTTTGTATGGTGTTGTTCTTGCCAGAAAATATGAGGCCTGGCGGCAGGACGCTGCCGTCAGCACACACGCCTGCCAATAACGTCACCCACTCTCTGTTTCCATCTTGAAGTGTTTGCCTGTTCTTTTGCAGCTCATACGCGAACTTTGTGAAGATCCTCTTGCTCTTAGACAGTACACCGATCGCAAAGCCCTTCTCGTCCATATTGTACGTATGACGCGGCTCGATTGAGTATTTGTGAATTGTGCGGTACAAGAGGTCGAAATAGAGGTCGTACTTCTGGGCGGAATCAGCGAGATGACGTTGTTTGTCCATGGCAGAGGCCCATTTGTATAGGAGCGTGTCAGAATGTTGGTTGATGAAGCGGGTAACCCAGCTATCAGAGACGGACTTGTGAGCCATTTCGCTGGCGAAATTTTGTACCATCTGCCTTGTAGGAGGTAGATGATGCGCTGTAAGCTCTTCTATATACTCACAAAGCTCACGCTCTTGTTGTGGACTGAGTTTGCGGCGTTCTTTGTTGGCAATTGCACGCGGCAAGGTCACACCTCTGTCATTGCGCGACACTGTTGAGCACGACACACCAAGCTTGTCAGCTAATTTCTGGTAGCAGATATCTTCGCCGGGCCTCTCTGCACGTGCAGTTTCAAGGGCATCAAAAACGGACATGATTTGCAAAAGTTATGGTGTTGAGGATTTTGGGATGGTATGGTGTTCGCGTGCACCGAGTGGACGCGTGCAGCCCGTGCACGGTCACTGTAACTCTTACATACCTGATTCAACCTCCAGGGATTAGCACGAAATCATCAGTCTCTACTCTTGCAATGCTTGGTCTTCCCAGGTCCTGAACATCTTGATCCAGCTCCTTGAGATCTGCCTCTTCCTGCACCTCTAACCACTCCCTGACACGCTTTCTGTTTTGATCCTCGGACCATCTAAAGGTCGATTCGGTGTGCTCATATATGAACTGGATTATCTCTACCAAGCTCAGTCTCCTCAGATCGATGTTTATGTCTGATTTCTTGACGCTAGCCGCCATGAGATTGATGCACGAAATGTCCCACTTGTTACTCCCTTCTCTCTTAACTAAAGGAGCAAGAGCAGATGGTACACCGAGAAACTTCCCCAGCCAGTGTAGAGCTTCCGAGTCGTTCCAGTGATACATACACGTCACAATCAGCAGCGCTCGCACTGTGTTCGCAAACAACTGTTCAGTTGGCATCGCGTAGTCGATCCGCAGCAGTGCTCGTTCGTCGGGCTTGACAGTTCCCATGACAGCGAAAACCTTGTCTCGCTTATTGCAACACTCGCCTTCGATCCACTTCAGTGCCCTTGATAGTTCCATACCTTGATCGGCCTTAAACCACCGTTTGTCTGTCCACAGCTCGTAGACGCGGGGTGGCGTAAAGTTGGTGGAGTCCCTGTAGTAGTCGAAGGAGCCAATAGCGTGAATGGTTTCGTACGGAAAGACATGCGGACCGTACATCAGCTTCAATTTTGGTGAAAGCAGCACCTCCTGGATGATCCACATGCGTGACCAGTACGGGTTGCTGACCATGTCCGATACGATTTGGGACAGGAATTTCATGTCCTCGCATGACATATGCTTTTTGCAGATCGTGTACGCGTCGTTCGATCCACGAACGCTCTCCGCCAGTGCCGTCATCCGATCAACAAGATCTCGCGTTATATCCCAGATCGCGTTTGACAAACCCTTCCCTAGATATGATTCCGCTCTAGGGTCTCCTAGCCATACAATGGTTCCTCCAGTTGCGTTGCGGTAAATCTCGTCCATCCGTGATACTTGTGCGTTCTTTTCGGACACATTCGACTGGTCAATGCATATTTGATCAATCCAGATATACGCACCCGTCGAAGTCTCATCAACCCAAAGATACTTGTTGTCTGTAGCATCATCGATGGGAACAAGTTTCTCGGCCACATAACAGGCAAGAAAGCTCTTTAGGTTCGGGGATACGGTGAAAGGGTGGTCGTTGATGAGCACATGGCTAGAAGCGTCTACCGTAGATGGAGGACCCCACATGTAGGAAAGACACGTGAACGGCTTCGTTCTTGAGAACATAGACCCAGGAGGAAAATTGGTGGTGACGAGCTCACCGCGGATCTGCCCATTTGCCTGGCCAGTCAGACGAAGCAGCCGCATCTGATTTCTTCCCAGGGACTCATACGGGAAGGGAGGAGCCTCCTTGCTTTGATCGAATGCTGAGGTGAATTCCGTCTGGGTTTCCACACCTGGTTCGTGACGATGAGGCTTCGGTGGCGACACAGGCGCGGCAGCAGCAGTTGGCCCAAAAAGTAGATGCTCTACTTGCTCAGGACTTTCGCCGTCTAAAGATCTTAAGCGACTAAGCATGATGAAGAGCAGATCGTGAGAAAGCCCTGGACTCACGAAGCACGACGAATCATGACGGCTATATGGTAGTGTGTTATGAGCACTGTGCCAAGCAGCGGGGTTTGTGACGGCAAGTTCCGTCATTTCAGCTCTGCCTATCGTGGCTTAGTGTTGCATTGTGGCTGCTGCCCGTAGCGGAATATTATTGGTTTTCATCCTGCTTTACTATCGCCGCTTTTTATCTGTCCTCTTGTCAACATCAGCTAAGTCGGTAATCACATGCCATTTGTGTTGCGATCTTCAGATCTTACAACAGCTATCAGTTATGCCCGTCATGGATGACACAAGTGCAAGTCTGAACAGTGAAATAAGCACAGTCGGCAGCAATCAGATCACTTAGCTCAAAGAGAAGACCTCGAAGGCTTATGTGACGTTTGCCATAGCATCTTTCAGGACAGGCTCATAGCTGCGGCAGATAGCAAAACATGGGATTTCCCGGACGCCCATTGAGGACCAGAGATACTCATCGGTCACTGTGTTGCCGAACACGAGATAGACTTAAAAGATTCGAGTGCACTATACCAAATCCACTTCTATCGCCAACCATTCTATGATGGCTGAAATTGAGTATGTTCTCTTTACATGTGTAACGGGCTAGAGTCCGAATGCTATAGTGATCCTTGGTGGAACCTTCGGAGCTGTTACGATCAAGGAGCAACTCGCACAACACTGAACGAACAGGACTACGCAACGATACGAGAGGAGCCGAGGAACTGTATTATCGATCGACCCGAGCAGTGAGGCCGCGTCGGCGATACTCAGTATGATCATGTCACGGTTCAGAGTGCTCCTGCCTGTCGAACCTCACCTGCCATGAGAGTGACTGCCACGTCACACTAGCATTGTTTACAGCTACTCACCTATTGTGGAAGGGTTGAGATGTTGATTGATTCTTTTAGCTATTGGCTGGAATCGATCGGGACTATATAGTAGAAGGAGATAGCAGTGAGGGGTTGGGGAAGCAAACCAAGCTAACCGAATGAGCTGGACAATCAGTGCAGCGGACCGCTAGCAAACAGATGGCGATCGGTGGATACCTTCACCCCTCCAACACCTATATGTACTGTCCGTAGCTTCACCCAATACAACCCCAGTTCAATCCGTCAATTCTTCCCATATGCGCACTGTCCACGCTTCCCGACAGATCATCACTCTCAGTTGAACTGTATTATCGATCGACCTGAGCAGTGAGGCCGCGTCGGCGATACTCAGTATGATCATCACTCTCAGTTGAGCAACTCGAGCGACTCGAGCGGTTAGGATGCGTCAGCGATACTCAGTATGATCATCTCGGTCGAACCGAGCAGTGAGGCCGCACCGAGCAGTGAGGCCGCACCGAGCAGTGAGGCCGCGTCGGCAATACTCAGTATGATCATCAATCTCGGTCAAGCAACTCGAGCAGTTAGGCCGCGTCAGTATACTTGGTACGAGCAGTATACTCAGTACCAAGCGATCTGAGCAAATCCTCCTGCTAAAGTATATAACAAGTAGACATGCTGCCTTTATGGCATCGTGTTCAACCTCGTCAATCAACTTTGTTATTAGAATCTCACTTGCTCTCGAGCCAGACTGTCGAAGGGAGTGAAGATATCCACCAATCGCCATATGTTTGCTAGCGGTCCGTTGCAGTGTTTGCTTACGGTCCGCTGCACTGATTGTCCAGCTCATTCGGTTACCTCGGTTTGCTTCCCCAACCCTTCACTGTTATCCCCTTCTACTATATAGCCTCAATCAATTCTAGCCAATAGCTCAAAAGATCAATCAACACAATCCACTCACTTCAACGCAGACAGTATACTCTGTACTACTCATTTCAAGCAGTAGTCACGGTCTTTGACTAGATGACTACCTGACTATTACAAAGGTTATTACAACTCGCCCGGATAGTCTACCCCTGACCACCCGAGCTTTGCTTAGGTGACTGTCAACCCCTACGGCTTTGTGTACCTCTGCTCATCCCCAAGAACCAATTGAATAGTGTCTACAAGCTTTGCTTAAGGCACAAATTGCAACAACCCCTTCTCATCCATATTGTATGTATTGCCTGGCTCAACGTTATACTCCTCCATTTTGGCGTGCAGTTGTTCAAAATAGAGCTTGTATTTGCCCTGAGTCAGCTTGGTGACGCTCGGTATCCATAGCTTCCTGCCAGGCTGGGATGAGATGGTCTTTTTGGCGAGAGAGAAAGCGTGTAACCCAGCTCTCAGCAGGCTCCCAATCACCCAGCTCTTGTGCAAAATTGCGTATCATGACTCTCGTTGAAGGCAGTCATTTCTCTGTGAGCTCATTGATATACTCCACAAGCCCTGCCTCTTGTTGTGGAGTGAGTAGTCGTTGGTTGACTGACTTGGTTTCATCTGACGTGTTCTCTTGTAGATATCTACGCGTCAAAGTTGAGCGCGTTACACTATGTTTTTTGGCAATCTTTCTATATGTAATATCTTCATCTTCCTCATGCAATTTCAGGTCTTCAACCGCCTTGTCAATTGGAGCCATATTGGTAGAGTTATGGTGGTGATGGTTTGGGTGGTTTGAAGTTTGGCGCGCATCACAAGACCGTGCGCAACACGCGCGCACAGACGGTAGGCGTTAGTGTACCAGTCTTTGAGAGGTCTGTACATTTTGCAAATCATTATATCTTTTCCAAATTGTTATATTTCAGCTTTTCTTTAGATTGTGATATGATCAGGAGGTTTTTGTGGAGGCTGAATTGGCCTTAGTGGCAGAGTGTTGCTAAGAAATATCAGAATGAGACGACTAAATTAGTCGTGTTCAGTCCACAGGCTTGTCAAGTTTTTCATTGAAAGCGCCCTGAGTTGGGGGGTTGGGAATTTGCGGGGTATGGTGCATGTTGGGCCAGCGGAAGCGGTCGCTGTTTTGCTGAACCCCGCCATGCGCGCGCGTTGTGAGTGCTAGTGCCGTTACCTTGATAGCCGGCTTCTTTTTACTCCTATACAGAGTCAACGGAGGTGGAGGGTCGGCAGCCGCAAATCACCCTGTAGTTCCGCAATTGAAGCCGATCCGGCTTTTACGTTATCCGTATCACCTACAGGTCCGCATCAACCATGGATTACAAAGCCAGAGTATCTCTTAGCATTTGCGCAGAAACCTGCCGCGGAGTATCTACTATAAGTATCCCGCATCAGATGGCATTGAGATTTGGAAGAAAACAGTATCTCACCGATACTAGCCGCTTGCACGAGGCTAAACAAAGACTGAAACATTATGAGAGCTGTCAGCCTTTCAGCAAAGGGGAACTCCTCAACCCCATATTCACCCACAAACCCAGCGCCATCTTCCGCCCTACAGGTGTTGTCCGACGTCAAGATACCTCAAGCATCACGACCCGGGGAGCTGTTGATCCGCGTGAATGCGACCACAGTTATTCGAGATGCCTTAACTTGGCCCGAAACCTACATTGAAGAGCAGAAGATACTCGGCCACGACTTCGCCGGCACTGTGGTTTCGGTGGACGAGCCCCTTGGCATGTCATTCCAGGTTGGGGACGAAGTTTATGGTATGACGGAAGCGTCGCGGGCTGGAGCATGGGCGGACTACATGGTCGTCACCACGGAGGAAGCATGTGTTAAACCCTCGCGCCTTTCCTGGGTCGAAGCTGCGGCCGTGCCCCTAAGCGCACTAACGGCTTACCAAGCACTATTCGAAAAAGCTTCCATGAGAGCACCAGATTTCATCAGGCAAAGAGGAGCGTTCGAAACGCACCAGGCCCCGATGATGAAGGAAGTTCGGATATTGGTGATCGGCGCATCTGGTTGTGTCGGCAATTATCTTGTGCAACTGGCAAAACTCGCCGGAGCACATGTGACAGCCGCATCCAGATCGAACGAACGAAACAAAGACTTCCTGTACGCGCTTGGGGCAGACGATGTCATTGAATACAGCGAGCTTACGGGATCTGGCAAACAGTACCAGATCATTGTCGATACTGTAGGCGGAAGCGTCCTAAAAACCTGCTGGTCTCTTGTTGGGGATACTGGGAGCCTCATATCTGTCGACAGTGCCAGCTGGGACTTTGTTCGAGAACAGAGGGAGTCTGACGTAGCGCAAGAGAAGGACGAAGTTAATGCATTGTTTTTTGTTGTTTCTCCTTCAAGGAGGAACCTCGAACAGATTTCTGCCGCATTGGACGACGGGCTCCTCAAACCCTTTGTGGCAAATACTCTACCTCTAGAGGATGTCAGACTGGCTTACGATATGTCATCAAAGTCGACCTCTAAGCGGGGAAGAGTCGTCCTCGTGCTCTAGCGCGAATAAACGAGCGTTTGTGTTAGATCCAGGCGTTGTCTTTATATATCCAATTCTACTCGGCTATGTTCGTTTTCCTTTTTCCAACTTTGATGAATGCCAGCAGCGACTGCTCGAACGCGTGATTGAAGACAGCTGCGTCATTTGCCCTCTCTCTCTCTCGATGAATTTCCCTCCGATGTAAAGCTTTGGAACGAACCTTGATACATCCATCTGTACCGCATTTTGGTGTTACTCAAGGTTACTTGACTTTGGGAGGACGATGGAGAGTGTCAAAGCGGTCGTTCCGTTTAATTTCGTCTTGCTTCATTTTGTATTCAATGACGGTTTCGGATCCTACACAATGTACGGTTGTGGAAGTCTGGCCGCGCATTGCTCGATTTAGTGAAAGTTCGTTTGCCGGACTAATGGTATGAAAACGGCACCGGCGACAAGTTATTCAGCGAGCTTGTACGGCAACTGAGGTGTAAGTCACCGCAACCGTCATGCTGGAGTAGGTCGCGCCTATCCTCGCCATTTCCTAAGCCACGATGATGGCACCCTCACTGAGCTACCAGTCCAGCGCGTCAAAGTCGCCAGGCACCCAACCTGACATCTAGTCAATGGCGTACGCCGATAGCAGCTTGTCGTTCAAAGACACATTATTGAGCTTGTCGTACTGCTTAGGGACAGCATCGCGGTGGTGCCAACAAAAGGGTCAGAGCCACAGTAGATGGCTCTTGGAATTCAGCAAACCTTTATTAATGGTGCTGGTATATTTGAGGACTGATACCTTAGTGTATTTGAGATACGTTTTGGTTTCCGTTCACAGTACCTGCAGCGTAGTGGCCAGGTCGGCAGCTCAAGCATTCTCCAGCAATGTTCAATTCTTAGAGGCAAGTTGAGCAGTGCTGAAGTACTTAGTAGCAAAGTTTTGAGTCAAGAACTCAGCACATACTGAAAAGCAAGCATTGTCTCTATACAGAAGCCAACTACACAATTTCAGGCTTTCAGTCAACCTGACCATTCACATCTGCATCGATAGCTATCAGACTTGTCAAATCCTCCGTATTGACCTTTTCTTTACTTACGACGAAGACCGCCTGGAATTCGGCCTCTGAGTGAAAGTGCTTTCTGAACGTACATGATGGCAACCCGGTGGTTTGTACCATGTTTTGCCTGTTGTATAGATCCTAGGGCCGGTGCCTTGCGATGTGGAATCATGCTCAGGGCATACCATTTGATTGACCATGCGTTCTTTGAGCATTATAGCTACCACTGCGCTGCCTTCATGGGTGTGTGGAGAAGTGGGCGCATGAGCTGGCGTTGTGACTTTAAGGCCGAGGTATAATCGTTTGTGATATGTGCGGACCCGTCACTTGCTGGTTCGGTGATGTAATAGTACTTGTAAATGTACTTTATATGGCGATTCTGGTGCGATTGTCATCCTGTCCACTACTTTCTTTCATCCCATTTTGCTCAGATGGGTCGCAAACTTCATCTAGAGAAGCTGAGGGATGTTCTCATTGATCTCAATTCATCTTTGGGCTATCGTACTATTGCCAAGAAGCATCACTGCGGTCGTAACACAATGAAACGCATTGCGTTGAGCATGGACTTGTATGATAACCCGTACCCTCTGGCCAGTATGACAAGGGGTCGGCCAAGGACTCTTTTGCAGGTACAGGAGCTGGTTGGTGAACAATTTGCATGGCGATTGGGTATGGATAGTTCACTAACAGTGTTAGTCTTTGCTCAAATTCCTGAAGGAGAAGCCCACGGCGTACTTGGACAAAATGAGGGAGTATCTGTACACTGATTTCTACGTCATTGCGCCCGAAGCTGTCATCTATCGCACACTAGAACAAGCTGGACGAACCAGAAAAGTGGCTGCCAAACACGCCAAGGCACGTAGTGAAGCACTCTGGCAGCATTTCTACCAGATCTCATGCCATTGGGAGCGTCATCAAATTGTTGCTATTGATGAGTCCGCTGCTAATGAGCGTACCGCTGACCGGAAGAAGGGCTGGAGTGTCATTGGTGAAGGATGTATAAGCGAGTACTTTGGTACAAGAGCTCAGAGATGCAGCATCATACCTGCAATGGATGTCAACGGGTACTTCACGTGCAAGATCATCGAAGGTGGCATGACAAAGCAGTACTTTGAGTGGTTTATAGAGTACAAAGTACTGCCACAGTGCTATCCTTGGCCTCAATCGAGGTCAATTATACTCATGGATAACGTCTTGGCTCATAACAGTCACCGCGTACGAGCGTTGTGTCAAGCAAGAGGCATCTTGATGGTGGAGCTGCCGCCATACTCACCTGACTTCAACTCACTCGAGCAGACTTTCCGGGTGTTGAAGAGCTTTGTCAGATGTCACAAAGCGTTGGTGTACAGTTTCCAGGGGTTTCCAAGCTTCCTGCAATGGGCGATCAGTCAGTGCTGTGTGGGCAAGAGCTTTGCGGGCATGTACAAACGTTGTGGGTACCTCAGTCCTGACGTTGATCCATGGGAATGAAAAGTCCAGAATCTGGCGATCTCAACAAACTAGCAACATCTGCCACAATGCTCAATAAAGTATTGCAACACTTGGGACAGACAATTTAGGTGTACTTTAGCAGTCTTAGAATTAACGCAACAGGTTGTTTTCAATTGTGATTAAATTATTAAAAGTTGTATTGTAATGTTGTTCTTCACTCTACTAGCGTGAAATCGACCTTGTTTAGGTTTGGCATCCTCCAGAGTTTTAGCTGCACCCTGCCAACTCTTAGTGCCCCATCAAAATAACCGCTCAAATGTTAGAACTCACTTCCGCCAAACTCCACCATTACAACTACATGTCACACAACCAAGCCAGTATGTGCAATCAATTCGCTGTACCCAATTCTATGATCCCACAACTCACTTTGGGCATGTCACAATTTGTTGTTGCTGCCAAAGGGTATAGTAATTTGCCAAAACATGTCAACATTGGATGGCAGAGGAGTTGTTTAGGGTAAGCGTCACTTCAACTTCAAAACTTTTACTTGAATAGCCATTACTACAACACCACTATAACATCTAATTTACTTGTCGCTTGGTGTAAGGAGGTGCCTTGCACTATGCCTATATATTAGATGCAGAGCCCAATATCAGCAGTTGTGCTGATATTGATGTACTTTTTGGCCATTTGGCACTGTAAGGAGGTGCCTTGCACTATGCCTATATATTAGATACCGAGCCCAATATCAGCAGTTGTGCTGATATTGATGTACTTTTTGGCTATTTGGCACAATGGGGCTCTGCATTGTTACACTTGGTGTAAGAGCTGAGAAAGATGTATAGAAACAGTGCCTGAATTTTTTTTGTACTTTTATCTATAAATATTAATGCAAGATTCCAGTCACAAACACCAGAAATCACAACCTAGCAACACCAACCATATGATCACCATAATCATCCACCTCTGCTGCCACCCAGGACAAGTACTCAGAATCAAACACAAGTTGATCCCAGCCATTCCTCTCATCCACCCATCGTCTCTAGTCAGGCTTTGCAATAAAGTCTTCCAACGTAGACCGCATCCTACCAAGTGTTATGGCAAAGTATCCCATTTCATCACACCACTTTGAAAGTGAGAGTTTACTGGGATCCCGGAGGGACTCCACGCTCCAGCCATGACCAACTAATACCTTGGCCAGGTCAACGATGAGACAGGCTTGAGGGAGGTTGTCCTTCTCCTGGTCATGCCAATAGGAAAAAAATGCCTGGAGGAGTCTGTACGATGCAACACCCTGGCCAAAGGGGTCATCCTTGTTGGACTTATCCAAAGCAATAGGAAGCTCATGTGCCAAGGCATCTTGTGTACTTTCCATCACCATCGACCCTGCCAATGATGCCTGAACTTGGGCCATGTACACCCTGCAGAGGGTTGCTCCCAGGTCTCTCAATTCACTAACCTCACCTTGGAGATCAGTAATAGCATCCGCAGTAATGTTTCTGGGTGCCTTAGAGCGTTGTTTCTCTTGTACAAGAAGGCCTCTAATGTTCTCTGATGGGTCATTCACTGTACACATGCCCTGCCTCACCTCTCTTGCCCAGATCTCCGCTACTGGTTAAGGTACTTTGTGGTGCTCATCTACCCGTTGAGGGTCTCCAGATGGCAGCCAGCAGGTTTTGTTGTAGTTACGGCATGATGTAGATGTACATTTCCAGTGAAGGATAATGTCAAAACCTACTCCTTCGGTACCCATGAGCACTGCTCTACTCTCACCCAGGGCTTGTTCCTGACGATTGGTCGCAGTTTGCCGCTGGGAGGACCCAGCTCCTTGACCATGTCCACCCGGAGTCATGCCTGTGGTGGCAGAGGGCTTGAGTATAAGATCAAAGTCCGCCATGAGATCCTTGTGGACCTGGAGGCTTTGCTGTTTGGTGTGTTTTCGGAGGAGGCAGTGAAGGAGTCGCCTAAGGGACTCGGGATGCTCTTCTTGGAGGGTCTGTACTCATCGGGTGTCCTTTGTTTGGCCAGTAAAGTAGACGGTGGCGGTGAAGGAGGCAACAGAGTAAGGTACAGGTGACAGTTCTTGCACCTGTTCTCTGACCCACTGAAACAGGCACTTGAGATCAAGATCCCGGGAATCTTCTTCAGTATTTTCTATCGAACCGACTCTAACCTTGCCACAAAACACCCTCCAACGAGCTAGAAAGTCAACACTGTCGACCTCCTCTTCCATCTCAGCTCGCTCACGCGTCGCTTCTTCCTCAAGTCCCTCCTCCTCCTCTTCTACCCATTGGTCTCCTTCATTGTCAACACCTCCAACGTCACCAAACTCATCAGAATCAAAGATGCTGCGGCTTGGATCATCCCCAGAACCTCCGCTCACAAACAGTGCATCATCGGAGTCGTCATTGATCTTGATTGTGATGAAAGTATTGTTCTGTTGAAGGATCACTGGCTGAGAAAAAGGCTGGGATGGCTGAGTTTGAGACTGTGATGGATGGGAGATGCCCGAAGGAGTGCTCATTGAGTATCCTTCACTGAGACCGCTGCTGGTAGGGCTACTAGCGCGTTTCCCACAGCTCTGTTTCGATTGATTGGCCAGCGATTGGCTCCATGAGACCCCCTTCTCCGTTTGGCAGCGGTCTCGTTTACTATAAGACACCACTGTTGACATGTCAGTAAGTTGTCAATTGACGGCTGGGATAAACGTACTATTGTGATGCAGAGGGGTGGTGAAGAATTGGGTGTGAGACAACGATGGAGCGATGGGTACTCCTTCACTATATCCTCCGGAAGCTCCAGCAACTACGTCACTTCACGTACTATGGCACTGGGTACGCTAGTAGAAGTGTACCACTGAAGGGAAATTGGATACAAGTACCATACATGATCCCTTGCTCACGTACATGACCCACAGCGTTAATCAAAGGTAAGTTGTGTCAATTGACATGCCGTAGTAGCCCAAACAGTCACCCACAGCAAACATTCACTTGCCAAGACTGTAGTTTACTATGGGTGATTAGGCGGGTGATGATTTGGGTGCTTCAATTGGCCCCAGAAAGTGGGGGGTCCGTACATTTCACAACCAACCAATAGTAGTAGTCAGGAATACTGTATGGACTCTGTTGAAACAAAGGTGTCACAATGGGTACAGGTCGCCTGAGCTAAATCTAGCACAGCGGTCATTGTAAAAGCAATGAAAGACTTTTCTGTTGCGGTATCGGTTGGTCCATACAAGGTCTGACTGTACCCTTGACAGAATACCCTAGTCTAGTGTGTGATAGGTCACTGGCCTGAAATCAGGTATATAGTCGTCATCTCCAAGCTAGATAGCAATTTAGCGCAGTATTCCATCGATCCGATAGTCCTACGTTATTGTTTACCGTAACTATCAGCATACCACAGTGGCCTGCGCCGCCACAATAAAGAATCTGTAACCATTGTTATAGATGCCCTGCTACCTAAATCCGCATACTCTACGTTGAGGCCAACTTGTTACAAATATTTTACAGTGCAGTGATCGTATAGCGCATACAAGGAGGCTTCGTCAGTAATAACAAGTTCTGAGATCTTGACCAGGTTCGTCAACTGCTTTACTGGGGATTTTTACATTACTCGCTGACTCAGTAGCTGTCTCGATTTGTATGGTATTTTTGCCTGCGGACGGTTCATATTCAATTGCTGGATCGGTGAAACCGAAAGCAAAGGCTGTATCATTTCCGAACGGCCATCGGAGTGTGAACGGTGAGCCAGACGATTCGAGCTGAACGATACCTTGAACAAGGGGTCTCCAACTCTCCAGCATACTCGATTGTCAACTACGTCAGAGTGATATCGCCTTTGATGGAGTTTACCGTAAGCGACTGATTGCGAGTAACTGATAATGTAACATACACCGAGGCCGACCAGAGCAGAGTATGCTTGTACATTTTGTTCTTCGCTGATGAAACGGTCAATTGGAACTGCATCTGGCTCCCGTAAACAGTATCGAAGGTCGGGTCGCCGATGCGACTAGTACTGACCACTGCGTACGAAATTGCGCTTGAGAACGTTGTGCGATTGTTTGCGACGTCAATGAAGATATTGGAGCCAGAGTTGGGTGGACCGATGTACCCGACACTCCCCTGCCCGGGAGCCAAAAGGCACGGCCACGTGCAGGCTGATCCGAAAAATAGCCTGTGTGGCCTCTGGAGATAAGTACAAAGCCCCTCCTGGCCGTCCGTCTGAGGTCTCGAGGAAGTTGGTGGCGGTCTGAGCCACGACACTGGGCAGCTTACACGACTCATCAAGCACGCGAATATCATGTAGAAGAAGTGTGGATTTTGAGTTAGTTCTGAGAATGCTAAATGAATTGGCAGTCTTTACTATCGATGGGCCCTAACCGTGCAACACATCGTAGCCTCACTCCTTGCATTATCAGTCCTGATCCATGACTTGTCTTATGGGCCTGCACTCACCTCTTCATCTTCGGTTCATCATCCTTCAGGTGTTTGGACTCGGGGCAGTCACCAGTACAGATTCCATGCATGCCACCGTCCTCGTACTCATTCGATTTGTTGCAGCGGTCACAAGGTCTGACCATAACGATGTCGTTGTCTCGGTATAGGTTTCTTTTGGTGGTGGTTCGGAGACCGATCCGATCAATTATTCCAGAGACCATCGGGAAAAATTATACGAGAGATGAACCAATCGTACGGATGAGACGGTTGCGCGAACAGCGCTTCGTGGTCAGACAGAGCTGCACCAGATCACTCATCGGGCTTGCCTGCAGAACTTGCGTTCGTAGCGACACACCCTCGGATATTCATTCGCGCAGTCAAATGAAGACGAAGCAAAAGGTGGCTATACCCGAAACAAGACTTTGAATTTCCGGATTGGATTATGATGCTCACGCTTGAGGCTCGACCATGCGATCTTCAGCCTGACCCCGCTTGTCCAGCACTTGGCTAGATACTTCAAGCTATGCAGCATACCGATCGATTATGGGCTTTCAGGTGATTTGTCTATACGATTACAAGTTGCGGATCTTACAAGCATAGTAAGCACAGCATGAGTACGCGTGCAGCCAGTGTCATCGCTCATCAGTCGGTGGTCAGCCTTTTGGTTTCAGTTACAGCGGCTCGTATGAGTCCAAAGCTTCCGGGTTCAACCAGTACCAACAATTTCCCAGCTCCCTTGAAACTGACCTTGAGATGCGGTCGTATACTACCAGCATATGAGTTCACGTGTACTCTGCATCAGGTGCTAGTGGCCATGCCTCTGATGGCCACGTAGTCGGATTATCGCACCATCGATAGAACCATTCGTCGATAGAAAGATCCAGCTGTGTCGGCGTGCCAAATGCTGTATAGTCGATGGCCTCTGGATCAATTAGATGGCCACTATGCCCATGTAGTTGTGCACTCATTCGCTGCTCCTGTAACAACTTTTCGTAGGGCTTTGCAAAACGCTTGACTGCTCCCTCCATGTAAAGCATCTTCTGTGTGGAATCTTTGCTCGCTTGCATTAGTCCTAAGGACGCAGCGATAAGCCAGAAATGATGCCTGCTGCCTTGAGAGTGCTTGACCTTGTTTTCCATGAGAGAGACCAGTGCCTGCATGACCTCAAATGAACGCGTCTCGATCGTAGTCGTGATGATGCAATCCGATCGTGGATTGGTAGTGAGATAACAATAACAAACAGACAGAGCAATCCTCACGTGATCGCCATACATAGCTTCAATGAGCTGGCTCCCACCATTGAGTGCAATCCGATGGTGTCGTAACATCTTCGACGCAGTGTCCACAAGAGTAACACGAGACGTTCTTTGTTCCATCGCAGATGTCGAGTTCTGGAGCTGCCTTACATGCAGAGCAAGGAGATATTGAAGCAGATTAACCGATAGTAGGGCGTGGATTGATTTAGCCTGCAAGCCATCGTTTTGATTGAGGGTGTCGACTAGGCGATAGAATTCATCTGTGTATGCGTTGGCTTGACTCGGTGTCAAGGTTCGGGAAGCTCCGTTTAATACGCTATTGAGCTGGTATCGTAATTGCAAACTTTTGCTGCTCGTTGCTAGGAATGTAGTCGCTGTGTATTCTGGATGGTCTTTGGGCGGCACATCTTGCTCCAACGCAATGTCCGGTATGTTCAGTGGCAACGCAATGTCGCTTTGCTCAGGCCAAGTATGGCCGCTCATACCATGTTCGAACGCAGCTTGCAACTCAAACTCCGCAGCGGCAGCCCAGAGCCTTGCACGCAGCTCTCTCGTTATTGCTGTCGGTTTGCTGTGTAGTGCGTCGACATTGCGGTGCAGACCAGCACACATCCAGATTCTGAGAGTATTACCAGCATTTACCCAAGTGCGCTTGAACCACTTGCCACTCAGCTGTCTTCCGAGCAACAACAAGAAGGTTATTTGAAAGTCCAATGCAGTGTCATACTTCTGTACCGAACCTTGCAGGATGTCCTCACACAGGTCAATTATCGCTGTGGCTTGCTGCCATGGCTCTGTGCCACCGCCCTCCGGTGAGCTTGAGTAGCGTACAATGGCCACCATTAGTAGGATCAAGATGATCTGACGTACATCTGCGGCCTCGATGTCGAGCCACATCTGCGCATACTCGCGGTCAAAGGTCGGACTATGTAGAATATGATAGACGTGATCGTGGTTCGTCAAATACTGATGGATATCTGATTCAATCCTTCCTCGGTCATCCAACAGTGCAATTAGCTCTGCGCGAGATGCTCGTAAACCAGCCCTTGGTGCCGCGAAGACAGGCTGCTGAGCGCGACTCACTGCCTGTCGGATATCTTCAAGGACTGGAAATGCCGCGAACGCGTCTGTTGTGAAGTGACTTAATCCTGGAATGCATTGCGCTAATGTACCCGGGAAAGTTCCACCGTGGAACTTGGTGCGAAAAGCACGGCCGTGAAGCACAGTATAATTACAGTCACCGTGTAACGCGTGCTCGCTGTGAACAACCCGGGGGTCTGTTTCTTCAACAGGGAGCGTGAAGTCCTTATTCGCAACAGACACAGATGCAGTCCTTGACTCGAGCAGGCTCAGTCTGCGCTCGAGTACAGCAAAATCGCGCGAGGGATCCATCGCCGGACCTTTTTCAACGATGGACGGCTGTACCGCTACCTCATGCCGCACCGAGTCTGGTATGAAGCTGCTGACCGGGATGTGACCACGACTTGCGATTGTATGGCTGGTATCTGGTGTATCAAAATACTGGCAATTAGCTGGTTGTCCAACCTTCCGGCATCCGCCGCAGACCGGTCGATCACGATCGCACTGGATCTTGCGTCGACGGCACTCATTGCAGGCCCAAATCTTCCGACGACGTATTTTGCGACCTGCAGGGGGGGATGTGTTGTTCATCGTAATGGAGTATTGATGGAGGGGATGTTGGAGCAGGCAAGCTGTTCGGAGTTCCACTCAGATCCGGCCCTAAGAAGCGAAAACTTATATAAGCCGCACTAGTGTCGAATCACGTCATCATAATACATCACTCAATCTCACAACGCGTTTTGACGCGTTACTCCGTCGAATTGACCCGAGCACGAATGCCGAAAAGTCGAGCTCAGCTGTTCGATTTTGAAAAGAACGTTACGCAGCAATGTTGACAGCATGCTCTCTTTGTATAGCTCGCTAGCTCAGCTTTATCACGCCAAAAACAACTCGGCGTTCTGTGTACAGCGGACCCAGATGCAATGAACAATTACTTTCAGCCGATCACAGTGGTATTGCCACTGCCACTTGGTTGATCAGTCCTTGCCTTCCACTCGAAACCCTCGTCATCCATTTGAATACTAGCTCAGACGCTTCTGGAAATTATCATCGCATCCTGGGAGAATAGGGTCAGCTAAGAAGGTAATGAAATCTGGTTTTGACTTACCTGTTCGCCTGATTGCAGCTTGAAAGCGACAACCCGAGATGCATAAGCGACCTTTCCGCGTTCTTCTGTAGCCTCAGCCGTGAAGTTCTCTAAGTCCGTAGGCCGGGCAGGAATATCCATCTTGGCCATGTAATTGCTGGCATTGGGGTCGAGAATATTGTCTACGATATCGACGGCTTGCAGGCTGAGCAACGAATGCATCTCGGCCAACTTGAGATCCTGCTCATAGAGTCCTCCAGAATGATCGATGAATAGCACATTGATTTTGGGAGACGGGTCCGAGAGAGCGAGATCAACCAACGAGCTTGAGCTCGGTCCTACAATGATCTGTACAACATCCTCCAGTCCGGCAAGCTTGATCAGGGAACGAGCAATCTCTGCATACTCCAGGCTGGCTTCAAGACTGAGGTAACGCTGACCTCCCACGTCACGCAATCTCTGGCCAAACTTGATGGCAGAATAACCAACTTATTCTCCCAGTTCGACCATCACCTTTGGCTCTTCTTCAGAGATGATGTCGAAAATCAGGTCGCCTCGCTCTACACCAATCGTCATCAAAATCTTGTTCTCTACACTCCACTCGTCGATGGCACACAAGATAGCCTTAGGCCGACCGGCAAGATTGGGTAGGACCAAGATGTGTCTATGCAGAACGTGTTCCCGGTCATCCTGCGGTGAGTAAGTAATTGTTGTTCACAACAAAGGCCCGTCCTGCAGACCTACGCCATGCCACACAACTGGTTGTACAATACTTATAAGAAAGTTTTCCCAAGCGTGGCGGTGAAGAACTAGAATCCAGGCTTCTTTGAAAAGCCAAAGTTATATTGAGGCAGCGGGGTTACTGACAGAGGGAGTGAAGATGTCCACCAATCGCCATCTGTTTGCTAGCGGTCCGTTGCAGTGTTTGCTAACGGTCCACTGCACTGATTGTCCAGCTCATTCGGTTAGCTCGGTTTGCTTCCCCAACCCTTCACTGTTATCCCCTTCTACTATATAGTCTCAATCGATTCTAGCCAATAGCCCTTAAGATCAATCAACATCTCAACCCTTCAACAGTTACACATTCACTGACTTCAAACTACAAAGCGGCTCTTATGGAGAGCTCATCAATCTGATAACCTAGTGTGCCGATCATCAGTATGTCGAAAGCCGTAGATCGGCCGGAACTTCGTGTTGTTACGGCCGAGAGGTGACGATCTTGTGAAAAGGATCATGGCAAAGGGAATACACAAATAAGCCAAACACTACTGAATATCGACCAACATAACGAGCAGGGACAAAATGCCAGTGGATACCATGCGCATCGACAGGTCAGTTGCTGATTATCTGAGGCAAGATCTCAGCATTGGCGAACGCAAACCTGCATTCTGTCCCAGTCGTGGAGCACATGAATAGGCAAACTACGACATACGCAGAGGCAATTCATTCATCAGAATATGCAGCCTAGGAAACAAGCAAAATTCTGTAGTTTTTACAACATGATCTTGGCTATCCTATCGATTGCCTCAGCAACCACTTCTTGTTTCTGAGTAAAGACAAGTCTGAACCAACCCGGTTGTTCAGCACCTGTTGAGCCACCACTGACAACAAAGACTTTCTCTTGCAATAAGGCTTTGAAAATGGTCATATTATCAAATCCTCTTCTATCGGCCGCAACCTTCTCTTGCCACTTCTTTCCCAAATTCACCCACAGAAAGAATCCAGCCGTAGCGCCAGGCAGGTACTCAATTCCATGTTCGCTAAGCAACATGGTGGCATACGTATACGCCGCAGACAGGCGTTCTTTGTTTTTTGCAACATAGGCCTCGAGGAACTGGCGGTCAGACACGATGTAGTCAACGGCATTTTCAGCAAGCGACGATGGCGAAGAAAAGATTGCGCATGCGCTGCAGGCAGTGAGCAGGTCTTTGTTGGCCTGTGATATGAGAACACCGAGCCTCAGTCCGTTCGCGCCTCAGTCCTTCGAGGTCCCCAGAGGACATGCACGAGATCAGGAGAGATGAGTCCTTCTGTCTGTATCGAGAGCACAGAAGTGAAGTCCGTAGCGTGTTCCATACCTGTGTCAACTAAGTTCTGCCAGGTAGAGAGAGCGTATATCTCGTCACTGATTAGATGGATCTGATATTTCTTGCAGAATTGCATGATCCTCACGATTGTTTCTTTTGGGTAGCAATGTCCTAAAGGATTGTGAGGATGGCACAGCATGATAGCACGGACTTTGACCCCAGCGCGTTCCGATGCAAGGAGTGCTTCTTCGTATTTGGCCGCACAGCCAGACCCAAGTGGGTCAATGTCTTCAAAGGAGACAGGTACCATCCGCACATCCGGACGTTGCTCCACATCGATGATGAACGCGCGGTAATATGGTCGGCCAACGAGTATACCATCTCCAGGATTTGCAAGAGCCCCATGCTGCATGTTCGATGGCGGAGGTGACACCATTTGCGACCACTATCTATCCTGCGCACACACATCGAGCTGGAAAGAAGTTGTCGTTGAAGAAGCATGCTAGAGCGGCCTTGAGGTGTTTCGAGCCTGAAGGTCCGTCTGTTGCAGTAAATGCAATAAGTGAAGGTGTAACCGCGCAGGGCAGTAAGTCAGGGGTAACCGCGCGAAGCAGTAAGATCGGTATATTGTTGTTCTTGTTCAGTGTTCTCTCACTCGACCCCCAGCGGGGTCTGTTTACATGACGTATGTATCTCGTGTAGTCAAGAGCAGGAGGTGCTTGTTGGAAAGAGCAAGAGCACCAACACACGTGGCACACATGACCTCCATACTCCATAAACCGTCACACCGTCGCCATATGTTAAAGCGTTCGAAGCAGGATCGATCAGCGACTTTTACAAGAGAAAGTGCTGGAGCTCATCGTGCATGAAAACATTCTCTGCCATTCCCAGGGATACATAACCACATGGACTGGTTTCTGGGTTCCAAAGGTAGGAGCAAACTTTCCATAGCAATTATACAGCGTTAGAAAGATTCCTTCAAGACAGATCGAGTGCAAGCCGACATTTTCTCCAACGCTATTATTGCAAGCTCTCGAAGCCAAAGAAGAGAGTTCAGCAGGCATTGTGATGAATACAAAGAAACGCTATCTTCGCAAAATAACGAAGTTCAGTCGGCCGTGTCGTGATACCAAGAGCGAATGACTGTTGCAGTAGTTGCAATGAATGAAGGTGTAACCGCGCAAGGCAGTAAGTCAGGGGGAACCGCGCGAAGCAGTAGAATCAGTATAATGTGTTGTTCCGTGATTGTCTCTCACCCGGCAGTCATCAGGGTTTGTTTACATCACGTATATCTCGTGCAGTCAAGAGCAGGAGGTGCTTGTTGAAACGGGCAAGAGCACTGCACCAATACACATGGTACACACGACCTCTTTACTCCATAAACCGTCACAATGACTGCGACCAACCCGTATATTTACGTACATTTTATCAGATTATGTCTAATCAGATGCAATGTGGCTCTAGTCAGGTTCAACAATCATCTGCCGTCTCAATCGAAAACTTCATGTCTAGTCTCTTCGGGAAACTGGCTCGTCTACAGTCTCTGCAGTTTTAATCTTCGGCTTGTTTGGGGTCTGCTTCTTTAGAAAAATGCTATTATACTTGATCAATTGTATAATCTAATAGAAAGCGCTCTTGCTCTGGAGTCAATCGCTGCTGTTGTTGATGAGCTATTGCGTTGGGTTAGCGACCATTGGTACGCTCTTGAAGTGTTAACCAGTGAACACTGTGGGCCTCAGCAGCCTTCCGTTGGCTTTTAAAAGCACCAGCATTAAGATCGCGAATAGTGTTTTCAAATTCAACTTCACGAGTGTCCATTTTAAAAGCGTGGTGTTGATGATATAGTGTCAAAAACTGGGTAACGCGTTGTGGTGAGGTGGCCGATCACTATGTGGTCAAACACTATAAGGCCGAGCTTACCACGTCTGGCCCTTCGGTGACATAGCCACACCCGTCTACAACGTAGTAATTGGCTACATCTACGTCGCCTTACTGATCCACCAATTCATCCTCGCCCTTGGCAACCGCCCCAATGGATCAAAAATACCTATCTAGCCTCCTTCATCGTTTTTGGCACCATTCAATTCTACATACACATCCTCACCATGTACCTCTTCCACCACACCTTCATCGCCAAGCCAATCGAGGATCAAATCTCGCTCGTCTCTGGCAAAAAATTCCTCGACAGCTTCTTCGGCGCCAAGACCGGTGTCGCAGGACTGATTCTAATTGCACTCATCACTATCTACGGCCTCAACCTCATCGCCTCGTGTGGAAGGGTTGAGAGTATTGATTGGTGTGTATTGCTATGGCGAGGATCGATCGGGACTATATAGTAGAAGGGGATAGCAGTGAAGGGTTGGGGAAGCAAACCGAGCTAACCGAATGAGCTGGACAATCAGTGCAGCGGACCGCTAGCAAACAGATGGCGATCGGTGGATATCCTCACTCCCTCCGATAGCTACTGTTGAAGAGATCGAGCAGGAGCAGGAGGATATCGATAGCAAGTTTGAGAAGGTGGAGAGGCGGGCCCTGACCCCCATCAAGGATGACTCGGACGGAAAACCAGAGGACACCGAGGACTCGTATAAGAGTTTCAGGATGGGACTGACGTGTTTGTGGCTGCTGTCGAATACTGTGCTGATCATTGGGGTGACTAGTGATGACTTCAGTATGGCGGGGTTGGGAGTAAGTCTGCTACACAATACAGTTTTCGCACTCGCTAATTCCTTTCAGAATACCTCGACAACTCGTATGCCCATGTGCTTCAGGATCTTGCAGTATGCGACAGCTGTAGCCGCCTTGATTCGCTTCTTCGGCTTCTTGTGGTTTTTATGCGGGACTAGCATCAGGTTTTGCCTTGCGAAGCGGTAATTTCAATGACGCGTCGATTAAAGGCGTTTTACTGGAAGGCGTAATGCATTGAACGATGTCATAGGTTTGTAATTGTGAGGCTTGGCCCAAGTAACACCAGGCTCCGTCGGAGACCTCGATAGACGAATGTATAATAGCGCATCGCTTTGTTGAAATAGTCATCTTCGAGGCCAGATTGAGGTGTTTGACGAGTCTACACTGGGAGGTTGTCCGCCTTACTCAGACGTCTGACGCCTTCTGCCTTTCTATCTTCCGCAAGGATCGAAGCGAACTTACTCGCCTTTCTAATCTCTGGTCCCTTCCAATAGAAGACATAGATAGGTACGACAATTAAGCAAGACAAGCCTGCGAGTGTTGTTGTGGCCAGCTCCGATGGACGCGTTTGACTGAGATTGTGGTACAACGGTGCGGCATACATGGCAGATATACCGGCGAGAAAGTCTCGTGCGAAAGCATTACCACCTGTAGTGGGTTAGTGAATGCTGAGCACAGGTCGTAGGCCAGGGTCTTGGGATTACCTGTAGCAGAGGCAGAATATGGACCATAGGCCGCGATCATGTAGTCGACGGACGAGTAGTAGATGGCGAAGTTGGCGAGACCAACAAGGAACGAGAAAATCATTGGTGCGATCCAGTGTGTTTGTGGAGGTCCCATGCAAGTCCATCTATGAGTCTTTAGTACGATGAGCTTGTGCTCAATGAACAGCATTACTTACGCAAAACCAATGAGACCAATCGGCTCGAAGAGCGCGAGCCACAGGAGCGGCTTCAGGCGTCGCTCAGGTGCATAGTGGTCAGCACCGTGCTTCTTCTTTTGGGCCTCGTCTCGCCAAAAGATAGGCCAGTACAAGAAGTAAGTAAAGAAGTAGGACGCGTTGATGGGGATGAGTGCCCAAGCAACCTGAAGAGTACCGAAGCCAAAATTAGCTGGGTATGTAATGGCAAAAGCCTCCAAGAAGGTAAAGATCAAAGCATCAGAGAAGCCTGATAGGAGAGACAGGAATAAGACGATGGGTTCGCGAACGAACATTTCGAAAGGCCGTAGCCAGATCTTGCCAGCCTCCTTTAGCGATACTCGGGGCTTCTTGAGCTCGTTTGGTCCGTATATGTTGGGGTCTTCGCCGCTCTCGCGACGTCGCTTTGCTTCGCGATCTATTAGAATGGTCGATCGGCTCTCGGGCATGAAGAAGTGAACGGCTTGTGCGGCGACGCCGAAAATGAGCTGGATCCAGAAGTTCCATTGCCATGTCAGATCTGAAAACAGCCATCAGTACGCTGTATCCTTGTGTATTGGGAATGGCTAGGCGCGGTACTAACACTTCTCAATTGGACCACCGATTACGCCACCAATACTGGTACCGATCGTGGAAGACAGCACAATAAAGCACAGTGGCCAGTGTTGAGTCTCGGGTTCATAGAGATCTGCAATGAGACCAAGCGTTACACTGCCTCCAGCCGTAGACAATCCGCCCTGAGAACGTTAGCGCTGTTGATACTAGATACAATGACTGACTTACAAGAGCTCGACACACAACGATGGTAGCATAGTTGGGTGCAACGGAATTTGGAATCTGCCAGATATTGATGAAGAACAGACTTAGCTGTAAGATTGGCCACCTGCCGAACTCCTCAGACCACGGAGCCCAAAGCTCGCAGCCGAACGAGTACATTACTAGGTAGATCATCTGTCCAACTCGCGCTTGCTGATCGCTAATACCGAAGTGTTCAACCAAGGGATTGACGGCACTGGGGTATACTGAAGTGTTGAAGTTCATGGAGATCTGAATACCAGCAATGGACATCAGGTACATGGCCTTCTTCCACTTGGGCCATGAGTAGGCAAGCTTGTCCCAACACTCCCATTCCTTCAGCTCGCGACGCCCTTCCGCATCAGGAACCGTAGGAGGATGCTTGGGAGGGCATTGGAGCTCGCGGTCCTCGACGCCCTCTCGGTCGCTGCTCGACTTCTCGTCATCGCTCTTCTCACGTAACGAGTTGGGTTGAGTGGTCTCCGGTAAGTCTTTTGCTGAAGGTTGCATCGAAGCGGCCCGTGCAGGCGAGGTTTGTCTGGACTTCTCCTGCTCGAACATCGTGACAAATTTCGGGGGAAAGCTGGAGTACAAAATGGGGTTTGAAGAGGGTCCTTTTGAAGCCAGGCGGATTCGAAAGGATCTTTGCAGAAGGACTTTGCTTAGACAACCTCTGATTCAACGCCCAGCAAGAAAACATCCATACCTCCACTGTTCACAGTGGGCCTGCCGGGTACGCATGGCTGCAAGCAGTCTGATAAGGGGCCTACCATTTGCTGGGAGTTTTGTCCAGATCCTCACCACATCGTCGATTTGCTCTGTATCGCAGAGTGGAGACCTCTGTGGTGTTGTTTGGCGATCATAGTTCGTTGGAGACTGAGGGTCCGCTTATGCTCCGCCTATGTGACGACAAGCCTGATGCGTGTTGCGAAAACTTCATCAATTCCGCTTCCCCTCAATTACCACGTGGGGAAGGGGGAACGGTGATCAGATGCGGCTGAAAACAAGCTCTACTACTAACAGTCAAGCGATGTTTAGAGGAGAAAGACTCCCGAGTTTGTGCGGTGCAAGTGTTGAGCTTAGCGTGAATGTGACATCATACCGAAAAGCCGACCCACAAGTGTTTCGCCTTGTTCAGCCGCAACACCAAGCCACCATCGTAGCTTCTTTCTTGCGCATATGTATAATAACTCTTGTCGTATTGAATGGCAGCTTGCAGTGTCTATCGTCATTCATTTTCATCCCTATCATCAAAGCTCATCCTGGATTGCCGCCCATCTAATGGGCGAGCAAAAGTCCAGTCGCTTGTTACCTTTATTAGCCAAGTAATGCTCCTTCTGCTCTCGGGACATGGCGTTTCACACATTTTGGTACTTCTTATTGACGCGGACGTAGAAGAGCTTTGTGCCGAGGAAGACGAAGATGTTGCACACGCAGACACCGATGAGGACACGATTGCCACGGCGGTACAGTCAGTGGCTTGTCATCACGGCGGGAAACCTGGTGAAGGGTTAGACTACATGTATGCTACCGTACTACATGATAAGCCTGATTTACGTTGGAAGCTATGATGGAACTGATCTGAACGGACATGTTGTACATTGAGGAACCGTTCTTTCTACCGCTTGCTGAGCCAGGTCCAGACCAACATTGCAAGATGAACAAAGTGTATGCCGGAAATGTGAGCAGGTTCGTGTGGAAAGTTTCGAAACCGACAGCCCGCAGCCGTAATGTGAGGTATGCTTGCATGGGGTTATTGGGTATCAACCACGACAGCCCGCAGAGGTACAGCGGCCACATGTGGTAGTCTGCAGGGTGACAACCGATAGCCTTGATGGGGAGCGCCTGGATGCATGTGAGTGATTCAACGCTCCTTGGCTTTGAACTTTACTCGCTTGGCGGTTATGCATGTCGCCTTTGCTAGGATCGTTGCTGAGGATACGGTTGACCATTATCTTCTCCTCGCGCTCGTTGAACCAGCCTTGTTTGCGCCTGAGAGGTTATTCCGCTAATGCAACCGCTCGTTTTCACCTGTTTCTGCCGTGTGCACTGCCAAGATAGGGGGCCCATTTCTCTGCTGAAACAAATCAGACTGACAACTATTACTATATGGTGGAGCTCTTAACGTATCTCCCGGGTATGCCAGTCACCCGAATATGCCGGTCACTTTTGCCAGGAACCCACCAAACTTCACTCTAGTCATGATGCCTCAATGCAAGAAAGGATAAACACCCTTACACAAAGCAAGTATTGAGCTTGCAGTCAAAGGCTTTCAAAAAAGACGCAACACTCTCCCAGCAATGTGCTGCAAAGATCTACAGAGTGCCTCAAAGCACTATTAGTGACCAACTGGCTGGAGCCTCTCCACTGTTGAAGTATTATTGAATTATTAGGAGGATTTTGAGGGTGAACCTCGAAGGACTATTCCATTCAGCATGATAAACAAAGCTAAGCTTGATTGGGTAATCCACCCCGGGAGAATCGTGCTTTCCAACATCCACAATGTGATTTCAAGCCCAAATCAACGAAGCTGACAAGCACTGAAGAGCTGGTGATTGTCCGGCACATATTGAAGCTAGATGAGCGAGGATACCCGCCCCAGCTTGCTGATGTGGAGGATATAGCCAATTCTCTACTTGCTGAGTGCGACGAGTCCCCTGTTGGCAAGAACTGTTATATGTCGAGCGCTCAACTTGCGTTTCACTTTACGGAGATGGACGTCGCCTACAGGAGCTGGAGCCTTGTGGGGCCGAAAGTGTCAGATACAACGGCATGTTGCTCTGCCTCCTTGTTTTCAATGAGCGCGAAGCTGTGTGATGAGATCGAGTGAAATAAGTCGGGAAGGCTCAATACGTGTGGGGAGAGAGGGAGCAAAAGATGCGGTTCCGAACAATCGTCGGTAAACAATGGCTACACCTGCAACTGGTTGATCGACGAGCAAAGCGGTTCGATGGCTGAGTGAGTATCCCTTGTCGCTCATGCGGCAAACCCAAAGAGAGGGAACGGGCGAAGCGTCGCATTGCGCTCTTGATACGGCAAATTGCGCGGATGGGCGCTGCGTGCGTTGATCTCAGTAGGATGGAGTTGACAAGGATTACGATGTTTCGATGCAGGCTGCAGGGAGAGACGGAAAATCGAGGTACCGTGTCTGTGCGCGCAATGCGCACGTTCTCGCAACGCGCGCCTCGGCTCATCAACACCCACATTTTCAACTACTATAGCTCAACGCCACAATGCCTGTGAAGGATGCTGTTACAGAGGCAGGTGCAGAGGGTCAGGGTGAAGATATTTCATATACTGGGTTAGCTAAAAAACACGGTGTAGTGCGCTCAACATTGACGCGTCAACTGAAGGGT